AGTCTGGTGGAAGTGGTTACAACATCAGTGTAACCCAATGCCTCCCAAGCCATTTGTAGTCTGGTGAAGAATGTTTCTACAGATTCATCTTTCCCTTGTAGTATGTCTCCTAATTTATGGGCTAGTTCTTCTGTCTTTACCTTAGCCCATTCTCTCATTGCAGTGACATAGCATGCTCCAGGTGCAGACTTGGTTCTAAACCATTCATCTGTTTGCATGTTGCTTTTTCTGAGGTTATCTTCATGGGCATCTGTATATTTAGCAATTATTCTAGCCAAAATGAGGCCAGCTTTTAGTGCCACAATCTGTTTTAAATCCATCCAAGTACACTGGTAAGTAGCTTGAATTGTGGATAGAGACTGGACTAGAGCTAAGGGAGCCTTTTCAACATCTGGCAGCTGCTGTATTATTGCCAGTTGTTCACTGGGTGTCCAGGGCTTATATTCTTCCCAGTGTTGGATACTGTGTGCTCGGCTGTCTGTGCTCATGGTATACACTCTCAACTTTGGGTATCATGGGAGTAGAAAATTGTGGACCTAATGGAGCCACTGGGGTATCTGTGGGGGCAACTAGGGGTTCCTTTAAGTCTGGACTACCTTCCTGCTATAATGAAGCCATAGGTCTTACTGGGACACCATATGAAGTCCCACTGCGTAATATTACTGGAAAGAGAGGTTTTGATCTCTGTAAAAGGGAATCACCTTGTCTTTTGGGACCAAAGGAGTCCCTGCAGTATCCTGGTAAAGGGGTGGGTTTACAAGATTTTTCCCAGGATCTTGCCTACTCTGGGACCCTAGAGGTCCAAAACATTGATAATATGGTACACCTTTCCTTGTGGTTTCTCTACAACCACATTTAGTTAATTCAACAGCAGTAACATGCCATTTTTGTGCGACTTCTACTAAGTCATTATCTTCTTACCAACCTCTGTAATTTGCCATAAATTCTCTCCATATATGTGGGTCTAGAGTGCCCTCTGAGGGCATGCCAGCTTTCTTAAGTAACCTCTTAACATTCTTAATTGCTCCTTGTCCTTTGTGATGCTTGACAATAGTCAAAGCCGTAAATCCCCCTTGGGTACTTTCAGAGCTACCCATCTTAAAACTTGTAAGAGTTAATTACTTCCTTACACAAGACAAACTGTACAAAAAAAGTGAATTAGGGGGGCGGGGCCTGACTGCCAACATGGCCAGATGCGCTTTCTGAAAGCTCCGGCAATGGCGGGCGCTAAAACACCGAACATGGACGACCAAACATTGTCAGAAGCACATGGTGCCTGGAAAACGATGCAGGACACTGCACCGAACATGCGGATACCTATATCACACCAAGTTGGGCCACAAGCGCTAAAACCGGCCACGAGGCCTCAACGGGAGCGGAGCCCAAAGCCTGGGGGAGACGGCCGATCGCCCGGCCCGGGTACCGCTCGCAAGTATGCTTCAACAGCTGCCCTGCTACCCCCCCCTCTGGACCGGCGGGGGATATCCCGGTCCACACTGGGGGCGACAACCCCAGCAAAGCTACGAAAACAAGCGACAACAGCTACGGAGCGAAAAAGCGAGAACACAAGCAAGATGGCGATGCACAGCATCCTTATCGAGCCACCCACGAGTACCTCAGACTTCTTCGACCAGCTCTGCGTAACCATCTGGAAGAAGCTCTGGGACAGGGGCCGGGCCTTCAAGCAGGCGAGAAAAATGGCAGTGGCATGGATTCGCCCAGTAACCCGGCGACGCCTATGTGGATTCCCGCCAAAATCTACCAGAGCGGCCTCCCAACGGAGAAGGCACCAACTATCAAGAGGGCGAGAAAAAGAGACATGCCTCGTGAGCGACGACACTCATCCCCAAACACGCCAGAGCGGGACCACACAGAACACCCGACCAATCTACCACAAGCAAACCACGGGGGCCTCAGACCATCCTGCCAGCCATACCAACCCCCGAGCACTTGCCCACGACAGTGAGATACACCGGAGCAGGAAACAACACACATGGGCCTCGGGAAGGAATCGGCGAGCTACACAGCCGAGGGCCTGGATCCTCGATGCGCTGGTGAGCAGGGGAGAAGGATATCCACACACCGGCTGCGCAGCCACCCACAGGCTGGCACCAAAATCCTGCATGCCAAGAACCGGCATGGGTTGAAGGGGACTGGTTTGTGGACTCACAATACTCTTTTTTTTCTTTTTTTTCAGTTTTACGCTATTGACGCAAAGACATGCCTATCGTTATGCATTGCACGGCTAGGACTCTCTCAAACTCAAGCTACTGTTTAGCCCAAATGCATCATACCTCAATAGTATAACTTGTACTCATTTATTTGCATGTCCCAATACACTGAGAACCGTAAAACGCAAACAAAATCCGGGGATCTCCCCCTCTATTGACCCTTATGCACTGTGCATTCTGCCAGTACCCTTTATTTGCTATACTTAGATTTGTTTAAACGCTTAGCCAACCTACTGGAACCCTAGGCATTTCACCTCTTACTATGTTAATACAGCCTTAGATTCCATGCCTAGACACTCAGTTTAGCCTGCCTACCACGCATACATTAATGAGCATGTGCCTCGTGAGACAGATACACTAGCAAAGAATTATGCATGTTAATAGCCTAGATCAGTCATGTGTATTAACCTCTTGTACCCACAATGCTGGTTACCGCGACCTACATTTACCAATAACATGATCTAATCAATACTAATCTCAAACTTAAACAAAAAAATGTGTGCTGATAATCCTAATGTTCCAATTGTTTTGCCTGAAAATGTGCTTGAGGAATGCTATTGGGGCACCAAGAGCTTATTTGTTATGTTACCCAAAGCACAAAAAAAATAAAGAATTAAAAAAAAACAAAAAAAAAAACAGTGAATTAGACACTTAGGACCGCTGCAGTGGAATTTTCACAGTTTTGTCTTCTAAACACAGATCAGGAGATCTGCCCTTGGAGGATTCTAACTCAAATTATAAAACAAATGTCAAGGCAAACAATAAAAATAACAACCCACAGTTATATTCCACTATCTCAAGATTCCTTTCACAAGACATAACACAACCTCCAACTGAATATAACCATAATACCACAGAAAACAAGTTCTTAAGATCAGACGTTTTTAAGTCGTTCTTTACCCAGACAGACTAGTAGGTCGTGGATCTGAGAGCGAAATTGATAAAGGTAGAAAAAAAGTTTTTCTTACCTTGCTGCAGCTGATTTCACTGTCAGAGGGACATCCACCTGTATGCTAGTGTCCGAGTCTCTCGACCTTCAGATCCCGGGGTCACGGCACCAAATTGTTGTGGATCAGAATGTTGATCTTTGTTATATTCAGTGGAAGCCCAAATAATTGTTACAAGTGCACTTGGAGAAGCGAGAATTAGACACCAGACACTTGTTGGTATTCAAAATAAGCCTCTGACGTTTTATTCATCAGCTGGGTTTTATACATTAAAAAGTAAGTGCTTACGTGCAAATACTCTTAGAACAGTAATAAGAAGAGAATACAGATAAGACATAGGGATGAGCGTCATGTACCCATAACAAATAAGTTTCAAGGTAAGAGAGAACAAAATGATTAGAGCAGACACATCTTAGGTGGGGGCTCTCTGCTCCCGGAACTTAGACATATATGGTCTTAAGTGTTGTTTAAGCATCAAGCATTTCCTGAGTCCAAGTTAGCCAATTTTAATATAGGATATCATTATATGACACCTATAAGCTTGAGCCTTGGAATCAAGATAAATTCTATCACAGGTGTTGGTCCATTCCGCTGTCCTTTCTCGCCTTGACTACTGTAATCCACTTCTCAGTGGTCTTATGTGCTCCCAACTTGTGTCGTTACAGTCCATAATGAATGCGGTGGCTAGGCTCATCTTCCTGTCCGCCCGCATCCTCCCATGCCTCACCCTTCTGTCAGTCCCTACATTGGCTTCCTATAAAATATAGAGCTCAATTTAAAATTCTGGTTCTTGCTTTCAAATGTCTACATAATGCTGCTCCGACCTATCTATCCTCCCTCATACACAAGTATGTCCCGTCTAGGCCCTTACGATCTGCTGAAGACTTACGTCTATCTTCTGTCCGTACTCCCACCTCTGATGCTCGCGCTCAAGATTTCTCGAGGGCTGCACCGTTCCTGTGGAACTCGCTTCCCTCCTCCGTTAGATGCTCACCCAGTCTCCACTCCTTCAAAAAATCGTTAAAAACCCACTTCTTCATAAAAGCGTATCAATTAAACTGTTAATAGCTCCTGACTGATTCCTCTTCTGCAACTGTCACTAGTCTAATACTATCCTTACCGTTTTGTGTCATTTTACCCCACTCCCTCTAGCACGTAAGCTCATTGAGCAGGGCCCTCAACCCCTATGTTCCTGTGTGTCCAACTTGTCTGGTTACCCACCCATTGTAAAGCGCTGCAGAATTTGACGGCACTCTATAAATATAATAATAATAACGGCATGGAAATACTATTTTACTCAGACTGGGCATTTACACTTCTTTAGCAATACACTGACCATGTAGGTAGATTACTAATTTTAGTGGGCGAATTTAATGGAATCCTAGTAACCGTCGCATCCTTCTACGCACCCAATGAAGCCCAATTTTCTTTCCTTAATAAAGCGATTAAAAAATTCTCATCCATGAAACAAGGTCATGTGATAATCTGCGGGGACTTCAACTGCACCCTAGACCCCTCGCTCGATATACAACTCACACATGGGGAAACCTATTCCTTACAGTGCAGGATTACACCTACTTCTCACAGGTACACATGACATACACACAAATAGATCTCTGTATAGTAGACAAATCTACACTTCCTCAAAAACCACCTAATAGGCCAGAGAACATGGTCAGACCATGCACCAATAGTGATCACAATAGCAGTACCATACCCAGCCAAGGGCCGAGGCAAATGGAGATTGAATGAAACCATTCTTGACTGCCCCAATAATCTACAAAAAGTAGCATCAGCTATATCTACGTACTTCTCTTATAACTCAACAAAGGACACAACATCAGAAACCCAATGGTTAGCCCACAAAGCAGTGATCAGAGGGGAACTCATTAAAATAGGTTCGACCATTATAAAGAAATTCCACGACAAAAGAAACACGTTACTCCAACACCTTGCTTCACTAGAACAAACAAATAAGACCTCCCCTCCAAATCTACATCTAAACAAATAGCTAACATGCAGGCTGATCTCCAACAACTGTACACCCAAGAGTATACTAGGAACTTGCAAAAACTTCAACAAACCTATTACAGCATGGGAAAGAAAGCAGAGGAATTGTCAATGGTCAAAAGATATGATTCTTGTTCAGATAGATTGATGGAGGCCCGCTGTTATTATAACCTTTGACCCAGCATTCCAGGTCAGACTCCCATGTGTATTAAGAAGGGCCTCTTTCTGAATGCATTCATTTAAACATATATAGTAAAAATCCTTTGTGTAAATTATATTTTCAATTCAAGTATAACCATTTTTATAAATACACAAAAACAAGTTCTGCGCTCAAACTCCCATTACTCTTTGGCGGCAGCAACGACCATGGTACACATCAGCCCCAATGCATACAGTAAAAACCAAAACAAAAAGTTAACTATTTTCATAATGTATGGCTTTAATTCTAGATTGGATAGAATGGTTATTAAGCCACAACCCTTTTTACACATATTTTAAATAGCCTTATCCTCATTTGTACGCCTCCTAATTTACTGAATTCTAAGACATATAAAAGTTTTTTGCAAATATATATTCACCACCAATACTTAACATCAAAAATGAATATTAACTTGAATTGCATACATATTGCTGTATTGGTACAGACGTGTGCAAACACTTTCTTATTTTTGGATGTTGTGTATGTTTAAATAAATATACATTTTAAGACAATCTGATTTGATTATTGGAACTCTGATGTGACAAACAAACATCTCAGGAGTAGCTAACTGCCTACATTTAATGGTAGAAAAAGCATGGGAAAGATTTAAGGCTGAATTATTACTGGATGAATATCTAAAAAGACTTTGCTGCAAGAAGATTACAAGAAGATAACTGTAGAAAAAGTCAAACTGTTCCCTGCAACGAGTGGTAGTTTCCTGCTTGATGCAGGAGGAAGATATGTTTACTGAAGCCATGGACATCAGCAGGACAAAGGGGTGAGGGGTGAACTTGCCTCCCTCTGCATTTTTCAACTTGTCCTCTCCCCATAGGTAATTGTCCCTTGGACTGTGACCATTCAGTCTGAGGGAAAGAAGGAGGGAGGTGCTTGGGATGCACTTAGGCTGCCAAGGGTCACAGAAAGCACTGTGAGGTTCTTTTCTGAATCCCCAGCAATTTGGTGCCTCTATGCTCTGCCCCCACATTCAGACCCTGCATCAAATACACAGTGATCTTTTCTGAAGTGAGCTTGTGTGTGTCAGTGAGCCTATTTGTATGTATCAGTGAGCTTGTGTTTTTATGTCAAATGAGTGTATGTGTATCAATGAGATTGTCTGTCTGTGTGTTTGTGTCAGAGAGATTGTGATGGATTGCCTGGCACCCCGACCAGATGCCTCCGCCAATTGATGCTCTTAGTGCTTACTGAGAACTCCAAGCACTCCACCAGACACGATCAGCAATGTAGCCCCTTAGCCGCCATAGCTTGGCAGGGGTCTTGTCATCCTCCACACACCCTGGACCCAAGACCAGGATACAGCTTTCAGTGGGTGAACCTCTCCTATTCCAAAGAGTCTAGCAGGAACAGCTTTTATAAGAGCTAATGATTAAAACCCAGGGGAGTATTGTTATATAGCAGATACAGTAGCTCCCCCGACACATGAGATAAGACTCTATGTTGAGGGTAAATTGTAGGCAGTAATCCAGGCACTCCAATGAATTCCAAAAATAGGCAATTTTATTGGAACCAAGAGTTACACAGCTGTGTAACTCTTGGTTCCAATAAAATTGCCTATTTTTTGGAATTCGTTGGAGTGCCTGGATTACTTCCTACAATTTACAATTTTATATGTGTTCCATATTGGTACTGGGACCTGTCCAGTGGAGCACCCTGGATTCCTAGATGAAGGGTTGAGTGCACTTCCATTATTCCTTCCATTATCTATGTTGAGGGTAGGCAGAAACTAATTTTAATGGTGCCACACTTGGCCTTTTATGACCATCCCCATACAAAGGGTACGCCCACATGGACCTTGTGGGGTGCTACAAAATAAAGTCACAGACCAATAACAATAAGGTTTAAACACATGACACTCCCATAGCAAACATACAATCCCTCCCCTCTGCTTGGAAGATAATTCAGTCAGATACTGCATGTAACGGATCCTCCATCAATCAATGTTCCTAGTGTTTACCAAAGACCATCAGCACCACACCAAACACCATAAGCACTGCAGATCCCACGAACCGCCACAGCTTTGTTGGGGCCTCGCTGTCCTCTACCCACCCTGGACCTCCATCGAGTGAACCTCTCTTCCTTCAGAGAGCAAAGCAGGAACAAGCTCTTACAATCCCCGAGTGTAGATGCAGCCTTTTCCGCCACACATTTAAAACAGGAACTAAGCAGATCTGAGAGTTTATTGTCTTTTATACAGTTTTCCCCACAAGTGGAGCACTGGACACAAAGTCACAACAGTATTGTACAGTTAGACACTCCCAGATAATGTACACAAACCCTCCCCTCTGCTTGGGAGATAATTGAGTAAGATACTGTAATTAACTCAATTATCCCCAAGCAGAAAAAACACATTTTTCACAAAACACAGAAAACACGCCATAACACCACATATCCCCATAAATCTTGCATCCCCGGATAGCCATATTTGACCGACCGCACGCACATTTTCATGCCCAAAACAGTTCCAGAGAATTAGGCTGGGAGGTAAATTGGCTGCACAGTCCACTTGCGTGTGGTCGGCTGTTCAACAGTTTGTTCGGTAAACCCGATTTACCCAACATAATAGGGAAAAGGCACAAACAAGCCTTTTCACAGTCTAAAAACAAAGTTTTAGTGCATGGTCCATATTCCTGGGGCATAAAGGCCCCTCCAAAACCCAGTGGTGAGGTTACTTTTGCTAAACTGCTTTAACTCAATTGTCCTCAAGCAGAAAAAAAAATATTTTTATAGAACCCCAAAAGTACCCCAAAACACACAAGATCTCCACAAATGTTACATCCCCTGATAGCCTTGATCCGGGTGACCAACATATACAAAAATCACCCAGATCAGTTCAGAGGTTCAGTAATTTCATGGAAGTCACATTTTGACCGACCGCACGCATAGTGGCATGCCCAAAACAGTTCCACAGAATCGCGGCTAAGTGCCGCTGGGGGACTGACTGGGAATCGCAAGGTTTTCATACCAAAAATAGTTATAGGGCATTCGTGGTTATGTCCCCCTAAAGTCTATTTGCGGTTTTGGTCCATGCGAATGACTGCCAGTGAGCAAGTATCATGTTCTATGTAAAGTGCCGAACCAGTGGGGATAAAATATGGGTCTTTACAGGTGCTGACTAGTGATGTCGCGAACCCGAAATTTTCGGTTCGCGAACGGCGAACGCGAACTTCCGCAAATGTTCGCGAACCGGCGAACCGCCCGAAACGCCATTGACTTCAATTGGGAGGCGAATTTTAAAACACACAGGGACTCTTTCTGGCCACAATAGGGATGGAAAAGTTGTTTCAAGGGGACTAACACCTGGACTGTGGCATGCCGGAGGGGGATCCATGGCAAAACTCCCATGGAAAATTACACGGTTGATACAGAGTCTGGTTTTAATCCATAAAGGGCAGAAATCACCTAACATTCCTAAATCACAATCAATATGGATTGACACCTGTCATATGACATATTGACACCTTGACATATGGATTGACACCTGTCCTCAGAGCCCCTGATGCACACGGACACAGAGCAGAATAGAGACTGGTCCCCCTACATAGGGTCACTTGGCAGATATGGATTGACACGTGTCCTAAGGATCCCTGATACACACTGACACAGATCAGAATAGGGAATGTTACCCCAACATAGGGTCACTTGGCAGATATGGATTGACAACTGTCCTAAGGTTCCGTGATACACACTGACACTGAGAGCAGAATAGGGACTGGTCCCCTACATAGGAGTCACTTGGCAGATATGGATTGACACCTGTCCTCAGAGACCATGATACACACTGGAGGACAGAGGAAGAATGGGGACTGGTCCCCTACATGGGGTCACTTGGCAGATGTGGATTGACGCACCTGTCCCTGGGATCCTGATACACTGACAGCCTGTAAGGCAGGGAATAGGGACTATTTCCTGCATAGGGGTCACTTGGCAGATGTGGATTGACACCTGTCCTAAGGTTTCCTAATTACACACTGACACAGAGCAGAATAGGGACTGGTCCCCCTACATCGGGTCACTTGGCAGATATGGATTGACACCTTGTTACAAACTGCTATTTGTAACGGGGCCTTTAAATGGCAAATTGCCCTGCTTCCCTGGGTTGTGGAGAAGCCTACTTGCCAGCCTCCTCCCGCATGACTATGGCCCCTGGGAGATTGTGAAAATGTATGCACTTTTATTTGGTGTGTATGGCCCTTTAAGACTGTCGGTGGGCATATTGGGGCTTATGGACTCTTTGTGACTGGTGCTGGCCCTTTAAACACCTTTTTTGGGACATCAGGAAGATTGGGACACTGCCCCTTTAAGGCCGTGTCCCCAGACTTGTTGGGGACACAGCCCCTTTAAGACGGTGTCCCCTGTGTCCCCAGACCTGGTGCAAACCCTTTGTGCCTGCCTTGCTATTTCCCACTTGGTTCAGTAAATGGGAAATTATTTCAGCTGCAGAGACTGGGACTTAGTCTTTTTTTCAGCCGTTTTTTTCAGCCTTATTTCAGCTGCAGAGACTAAGTCCCATTCGCGATAGGACTTAGTCGTTTTTTCAGCCTGAAATAGACCGACCTCACAGCCCAAATCTATGGAACTGTTTTGGGCAGGAAAATGTGCTTGCGGTCGGTCATAAAAGGGACCTCCAGCTAACTTTTTAACCCCTGGATGGATTTGGCTGATTTTTGGTTATGTTTATGTTTTAAGTGTGCTGATTCCAAATATGTAATTATGAAGATGGGATGTGTAGTTTTAAAGTTACAGGGTGTATGGCTAAAAACTGTATTTTTACTGCCTGTGTTTAATTATGTTAATCTCTTCCCAAACGTCATTTTGTTCAAAGTGGAGAGAATGTTAAAAAAATATATTTTTGTTCTGAGTGTGAGAAATGCTTTTCAGCCGCTTCTAATCTTAAGCATCATTTGAGGAGCCATACAGGAGAGAAACCTTATTTGTGGTGTGTTTAGTATTGTTCTGATCAGTTTAATACCTTCCGCGTCTCCTATCAGTGGACGTGTATATGGCAGCCATTTTAGGAACCGTACACCTGGGACCCGAGCAAGGTCACCTCGTTCAACAGGCTTGCAGCGTATCCTCCAG